AAACTTAAGATTTTGTCAAAATATTGTTATTATTCATATTTCTACACACTAAATTGGCAAAAATTTTGTTAAAATTATGTTAACTCGAATTTAATATATAAAATCGTATTCAGGGTTAAATTCTTAACAATATAGATATATCACACGTGTACCTTTGGATATATTACCGGGGATATTTGATTCAATTTCCCTATAGGTTAAGCATGGGATTCTGAAGCTATTTGTACCAATTTCTCCATAAGATTAGCATGAGATATTGAGCACTTTGTAGCTAATTTTCCCATAGGATTCACATGGGATATTTGTGTAATTTAAGCTAATTTCCCATTTGATTATCATAAGATATTTTGTCCATTTGAGCCAATTACCCATAGGATTAGCATGAGGTTTTAAGCTCATTTTATTTAATTCCCCCATAGACTTAACATGGGGTTTAAATTTTATTTTAACTAATTTACCCATTGACTTAACATGGGATATTGGGTATATTTGAGGCAATTTTCCCATAGGTTTAGCATGGGATATTGAGCACTTGTAACCAATTTTCCCATTGGATTAGCATATGATATTCGGACCATTTTAACGAATGACCCATAGGATTAACATGGGGATTTTTGCACTAATTGGTCCATTTTCCCATAGAATTAACATGGGAGAAATTAGCCAAATCTATGTTAGTTAAATGTACATTATGTGACTTTATGAACCATTGTTTAAATTCCCGTAGATTTAGAATTGGACTTTTGGCACTTTGATCGTACGTTTTCGACCACATGTCCCTCAATCTCCTTTTGTCGCATAACGCTATGGGAGTTTTGGTTCCGCAACCGACATTTTTTGACACATGCGTCATGCACCATCATTATACACCATCTTCCCATAGTGTTAACATGGGCCGTAAACCACTGCGTCATTACGTCATCGGAAATACTTTTGCCCACTTTTGCTGGGATTTTCCATAGAAAGTGACAAAGTCCTTACTGCTTTTTACGACCAAAAACCCCATGTTAAGTCTATGGGAAATGCATTTTGGCCATCATCAGCGTCATTAATGACGGGTGGGGGAGGGGGTACAAAGTGATTCTAGTATACGCTTTTTATTCCTACGGAAAAGCGTATAAAAACTAATATTACAATATTAGCGTAGGTTTCATAATACTTACTGCACTGTAACTATAGTGCTCTACTACCTGTGCCCACTGGGCTCTTACCTAACCCTTGGGAAAGGGTTTAATACTTTTTGAGGGGTTGAGGCTTTCCAAACGGTAACGGCGTTCAGGAACTGTATCGGGGTTCAGTCAACGGTTATTAATAGCAGACAATTAAATGCAAACAGTTTATTGATTATAAATGTATCATAAATGTTACATAAAATAGGGCCGGGCATTGGCATACAGCCAGTGCCGGAGACAAACTCAAAGACTTAAGGTTGTGGACAGACTGCTCACTAGTGCTCAGTTATTTTACTAAATAATATTAAATATTTAATATAAATTTTATGCATCCTTATTAATCGATAATCTCATCAAGCATGTATCTAGCTTCTAAGTGCTAATTGAACTAGTAATTTTTTAGGCGACATTAATGCGTTGCAAACGAAATAGTCCAACTTTGACGTTTGAGCCAGGCTAAACTCGAATTTGCGAATGAGTTTGGCCAAACACATTTGCATCTCGGTAATAGCAAAACGTTGTCCAATGCACTGTCGGGGTCCTCCACCAAACGGTACGTACGCGTAGGGATGGTGTGTCGACTCAAACCACCGGTCGGGTAGGAAGTCGTTAGGGTTGGGCCAATAGTCCGGATCCCGGTGTAGGGTATAGGGGTATATCTCGACGCACGTGCCCTTTGGTATAGTTATGCCTTTGGCATAAAAATACATTTTTTAATATTCAATTATGGATTTTATCTATTTGGGGTCATTCAATAAGTACGTGCCCACAAATTTTATTACAAAATATTTGCCCATCCCCGCTTAATCGTCTCAGGCACATTAATTTAACATTATGTAAGCTTGGTCTTAATGACCCATGCTGACAACTACCCATCTACGATGTTACAGAATTACCTCTTTGGCGCGATCCAAAAAGTACATACACACGCCTAGGGGGAGGGGTGGGGCATGCCAAAGCCGATGCCCCATGTTAAACTCCTATGTACGATGGGCGTGTAGGAGGGTCAATTTTTGAACAATATTTTGCCTACTAACTTTGTGGATGACGCCTTATAAAAATGCGCCTAAAACTGCCTTTTTATAAAATTATTAATTATAAAATTGCCTGATACTGTTTCAACCCTACTTTTAAATGATTAGTAAAATACTAAACAGAATTGAAAAGACATGTACATATATACGTGTCGGTGAGATTTTCCAAGACTTACCGGTATTTCCCAGTTTGTAATCCATTAGGCATTCCCGTTGTATACGGGTTAGGGATGGGGCCAGACGTAGGGTCTCATTGATCACTGCATTCAAGTACTTCAAGAGACCCAACGTTTCGTACGTATACTCGTCGCACGTTTTCAACTCAGAGTACAGTTTCTGTTGACACTCCGGGTGAAGGGACAGGTAGTATATGGCGTGGGTTAGGGCAGTACTGGTGGAGTTGTAGCCACCAATAAAAAACGATACGCCCTGAGCGGTCATCTCGTCCGGCGTGAGCTGACTCGTAGGCCTTTTGGACATGGATTCAGGCGACACATCCCGTTCCCCATCGCTCAAGGAGTGGTAACCGATGTCATTGTCAGCCATTTCCGAGTCTATCATCAATTGTATGAAATCTACTCGACGTTTGGCTGTAAATAATTGATAGTTATTTATATTTGTTTAACGATATAATGCTGTTTTGATTAATTTATATTTAAAATTGTCTTGGATAATATAAATACATAATTAAGAATATAAAAATTTTGATCATTTTATATAAGATTTATTGTAAATAAATCAATATTACAAATTATACAAAATGTACCAAATTCTTGCTAATCCATAATTAAGGATTTATATAATCTCTGCAGATATCAGTAATTTATTTATTATTTATTAAATTATTTTATCTCATGTTATATCAATTGAATATTACAATATTTATAAAATTATAATATTTGAGATAAATTTTAATTAGTGGATATTTTGTCATTTTTTGATTTCATAAAAAACAAATACTTGACTTAATTAAATATTAAATATAATTTTCAAAATACAACTATCAGACAACAATTTATATCATTTTCCATATAAAACTACAATTTGATATTGATTACTTATTTATTTTTACTACCAAAGTAAAAATATGATTATAAGTTAGTAAAATTTAATTATCCTAAGCAAAATGTACTTGTTTTTATTTCTATTAGTACAGAGGTTTAGAATATTAATCTTATTTCATATAATGATCAGGAAATTATTGTTAAGTAGTGAATGAGTTACAAAAATATCTCATAATTATAAATAGTATAAGCAATCTTTCAAATATAAATACACTTATAATTACACTTTATATTAATAACTATAATTATATTAATTCAAATATTGGTTATAAGTGCATAATTAAATTGTTAGTTATCTAAATTTTGTTCATTTAACGCTAAGTGAAAATATTTACTGTTAAAACTTAAACAAGTATTTTCAAGTATTTTTGAATTCACTTTCAACTATTCAAACTTTTGCATCTGGTCACCCTATTTAACACCCTCCCCTAGGCGTGCGTAGTATTTTGTGAATGCCGCATTATCACATTACTTGAAAAATAAGTCTTAAATTAATTAGTAGCTTATGGCTGTCATAATATACTATACTAGGTCACCATAAATATTACCAAGCTATAATACTTACATTTATCGGCGATGTTATTAATGGTTTTTCTTTGTGTCAAAATTTGGTTGGTGAGTTTATCGAAATACGTGAGAGCATTCTTATCAAATAGCTCTAAGTTGAGCATTTTGGCCAACCCTGGTGCTAACACCGACGTGACCATGTTCATACTGGCGTCCACCGTAAGTATTTTCTTTGCGTTCGTCACAATGGGATGATTAGGATTGTGAATGGACTCCGGGTTTATACCGTAGGCGCAACGGCAGATCACGTCCATAGTTAAAGCACCCATGTATTCTCGTATGTCTATTGTTTCACCTGGGTTGCATTTTTAAAAAATTATCATTAGTATGATTTCTAAAATTATATAAATATAACAAGCGCAATTACTAAATGCGCAATGTTTAAAAATGTTTATTACAAATAATATTTGTAATAAGGGTAAAAAATCTTTAATAAGTTTGACCAGGGAGCATCCAATAAGTGCTCACACACTGAGTGTGGGAGGGCTCAAACCAAGGTCTGCCTACATAACTGACCGTCAATATCCTATACGCGTGTGTATTAAATTGGTCAAATTTTTTGAAATATATTGCATACCTCTTTACTGAACATATTCCAAGATAAATAATTATCGAAATATTACAAACACCAAAAAGGAACTTGTCACAAATACCTTTTGTCTGAAATTTTCTCAAATTATCGCAAAACGTGTCGAAAATATCGCCGATTGAGTCCATCATTGCCCGCATTTTACTCGACGTGAACGCCGGCGTGACTGCCGAGCGAACCCGTTTCCAGTCGTCGTTTCCGTGCATTAAATACAAATCTTTGGCGATCTTTGTCGAGCCGTTGTGTATGTGCTTGTGGTCGGCGAATACGCGGAAATCCTTGACCATTATGTCCCGGATCAGGTCGGGCTCGTTCACCACCAGCGACCTACCCGTCCCTAAGTATGTGCCATAAATGCGGCCATATTTTTGTACGGCTTTTAAGATGTAGTGGTGGTGTATGGAGTAAAACAGCTCGTACTCCATGAAGTTTGGCCCTGGTACACCGTGTCGCGACCAGTACGTGAACCACCATCTCATGAACCTTGGTAATGTATTGAATGTTTTATTGATATATTCATGCTAGATTAATGTAGTTTAAGNTGTATGTTGTAAAACAGGTCGTACTCCATGAAGTTTGGCCCTGGTACACCGTGTCGCGACCAGTACGTGAACCACCATCTCATGAACCTTGGTAATGTATTGAATGTTTTATTGATATATTCATGCTAGATTAATGTAGTTTAAGTTACAGTGCAATGAATGTAATGGTACATGCAAGTATGGTGAGAATTAGGTGAAACTCCATTATTACGCGATTATTTAAATATGCTAAGATTTAAATTTAAACATTAAATTTTTGTTTAATAGAAATGTTAACAAGTTATATTTAAAATTTTTAAAGCTATAACATATGCGTAACAAATACTTAACAGTATATTCAAAAAACTCGTTATATCTTACAAAGTACAACATTTCAAAAGCAAAAATATTTTATTGAAAAAAATTATTTGCAGATTTCATATAATATTGATTTAAATTAACTGACTAAACTTTATTATACTACCTAGACCCAGAATGATTTGTTTGTTAATATATCGCCTTTATATAAGAAAATATAGAAACCTTGATTATGAAACTGAAATTGATTATGAAAATATGAAACCGTCTCTTTAACCTTGTAAAATGACTAGTGATATGAATAATTAGTAAAACAATTAAATGTGTTACTATTTTTAAGCTTTTTAAACATTTTAAACTCAAATTTCAATGTTATCAATACATTTGATTATTCACTCAACTGTCGCAATTACACCATTATATTCAACATTGAACGTAAGAAAACCTGTTCAATGTCATTTGAAAAGATGACATTGTCTTCATTAAATGTATCAAAACCACTATATTAACTCTGCATTCATAAAAATGTGTATTTAGCATTATCTAGAAATCATATTAATACAGGACTCATATATAGCGTTGCCAGGACTTTTTCAGAGATTGGAGGACACATCGTAAATAAGGCATTTTTCTGGCGGACTTTTGGAGGACAAAAGTTATAACATTAGGAGTCATTCAATAAGAACTGAGAACATAAAATTATCTTAATAGTATCTTAAAATTATCTTGAACAATCCATAGTCCTGTGGATATTTACTAATAGAATCTTTTCATATAAGATTATATTCAATTACATTATTTCTTTTATTTATTTATATAGAAATGTTGAAAAATAAATATATTTCTTGTCATCTGAGACAATTAAAATTATACTTGATCAAAACCCTACCTCCTGCAAAATTACTTCAACTTATTTTTATTAAAAAATTAACTTATAAAATAGTAAACTAAAAAGTTAAAATTTAGTTAACAAATTACACTCTATAGGAGTATACTGAATATTAAGCATTATTCTTAGCATTTATATAAAAGATTTATATAATATACAGTATGATATAAATATTACAATTATCACGATAATCTGGCCCTCCATGAATATACTAGACAAATTATAATTACTAACTTTATTGTAATAATGAAATGAAGTTATTTATAACATATGAATTAAAATTTTGATGATGCATTTATTATAAAGATTATTTTAAAATCGTAAAGAAAATTCAAATTTATTTGAGCAAATTCTTGTGGAGGACATTACATTGTCCTCCACAATCCGTCTGGAGAACTGTGCCACTGGGGGTCGATTGGAGGACTGTTCTGCAGAATGGAGGACGTCTGGCAACGCTTCTCATATGCCGGTTTTGTGTAACAAACTAATACTACTTTATTACGGGACTGACTTTTTGGCACACTGGGCACACTGACTTTATGGCACACTGGCACACTGGGCACACTGGGCACACTGGACCTACCCAAGCACTTGTAATAGGTTATAATATAGGATATTGTAATAAATTAAATCTAAAAATATTTAATTTTGTTTAGTGAAATTGCTTTCTCATATGCCGGTCTCATATGACACTTACCATGTAGTGAACATAAATTTGCTTAGCTTTAAATATTTAAGCATATACATGTTATTATATTGTATAAATTTATTCATTATTTAAAAACATTGTCTAATTTTAGTTACATTCCTTACAATCCAGTCAATAGATGCGACAGTAGATCGGTTTGGCTACTATTTGTGCTGGAGTATTATAGCTTTTGTGCCAGGATTCTATACAATAACCAGTGTCTATTTGGTTAAAAACACACCACATGATCAATTTGGTTTCAATTCATTTATTGCGATTCTTATAACTGGTTCGCTGACGATTGGCCTTAATTACTGGTCAGACCTACAAAAAGTGGAGTTTAGAGCGACTGACGGAAAGTGTGTTATTTGGGGGAAACCCGCAAAACTTATACGGTATGATCCTGTTCAAGTTGCTAGTTTTTATAACTAACTTATATATTATAACATTTGCCAATAATCGTTTCAAATTTGAGGCATATTCAAATCATTAAAATACTAAAATAAGCATTATTATTGAATAACTGTTAAAAACACTACTTTATACTTTATAAGTGCTTTACCTCACAAATCATATAAAATATTATACATTTAATTAGTAATCAATAACTAAATTGTAAATAATAATATAGTAATACAGTACAATATACTGCAGTAGTACCTTATATACTGTATATACAATATATGTATATAATTATTTGCATACATATAGTGCCCAATATGTGGACGATTTCGGTAAAACAAAGCGAAGTATACTTTTGACGTCTGGATTCTGGGGAATCGCGCGACACATGAACTACACGTTTGAGTTATTGGCAACATTTCTGTGGTGTTTGCCCGCACTATATGCCAGTCCCATACCGTACCTCAACCTCCTATTCGTCACTATACTCCTACCCTTTTACGTGGGCTAATCCCCGGTCGCCACTATCGCTATCTTTCGGGAACTATTGAATTTACCCGGGGATAAGATGATCTTATCCCCGAAATCACGTTTTTACCGTATTACGTTATTTGTTGACAAATATGCGACACCCTTATGAGATTTGTAGCCCTATTTTAAGCTGGCACTTGGGATTTATAATTGGTTATGAAAGTCCATTCAATGCTAAATCCGATTATGTAATTTATATTGTCTCGGGTTCGGTCTCAGTGACCACTTTTATCGGGAAATTTTGTCAATATAAATGTGTACATGTGATATATCAATTTTATAGAGAATTTTAAGCAGAATATGATTGTATTAATTAAATTGATAAATAACTTCATTTCCTTCAAAAAAATAGTCAGATTATTGCTTTAAAATCACGTTATATTTGTTAAATCTTAAAATTACACAATTACTTATATTATTACTTAATTATTACTCCAGGTGTTCTTTGTACAAAATTGATATATCACATGCATATATTTATTACGATAAAAGTAGTCACCAAGGCCGAACCTGAGGTTCCAGGACAAACTAATTGATATCATCTATTTGTTAACTGATTTGTGAACATGCCATAAATTGTACTTTTATATTAAAATGTAGAACCACAATTGCCAGCTTATAAAATATTACATTATTAGGCAGCAATGACCACTTTTATCGGTAATTTTATCATACTAAATATATACATTTGAACATGCCATAAATTGTACTTTTATATTAAAATGTAGAACCACAATTGCCAGCTTATAAAATATTACATTATTAGGCAGCAATGACCACTTTTATCGGTAATTTTATCATACTAAATATATACATGTGAAATATAAATTTTGTACAAAGTTTTACAAAGAACACGAATATATAAGTAATAATTGTGTAATTTTAAGATTTAAAAAATATGATGCGATTTTAAAGCAATAATTTGACCATTTTTTGATGAAAATGCCGTTATTTATCAATTTAATTAATACAATCATTTTGCGTAAAATTCTCTATAAAATTGATATATCACACGTACACATTTATATTGACCAAATTTCCCCATAAAAGTGGTCATCGAGACCGAACCCGAGGTCACAGGACATAAAATATAAATTAAATATTCGGACTCAGCATTGAAAGGACTTTCATATCCAATTATAAATCCCAAGTGCCAGCTTAGCCAGATCCTGACAGTCTTCTTTTTCTTGACAGTTCAGGCAAAATTTGTAGTTAAACATTTTAGTTGCATATAATATTTTTTAACGATAGATGTCTCTAAATTTAACAGGGGATAATATGATCTTATCCCCGGGGAAAATAGTACTATTTTCAACCGCTAGAGCCGGGGATTAGCCCACGTAAAAGGGTAGTAGATTGCAATATTTATACATGTAATTATTAATTATTCCTAAATACGTGTTATAACTGACTATTTTATAACAAAGGTATGAAATAACAAAATGAAATTTCTAACCAGTAAGTGATTGTTTTACAGCTATACTGTACTGGTACATTTAATGAATGTTCTAATTTACATATTGATTTTAATTGTTTATAATATTAATATTTATATTGTAATGCATCGTAAAAGTTGAATGTATTACCCTACTTAGTTTATTAAATATACATCTGATCTGAATTTCTAATTAGTAAAACCAGTGTTTACATATAATATTAATGTTATTGTATAATTATCTCTCTCTCTCTCTCTCTCTCTCTCTCTCTCTCTCTCTCTCTCTATTTAAGTATATTTTATATACATATTTAAATATATAATTAAATTTAATTATTTGCAATAAGTTGAAGTAAACAATATCTAAAATATATACCGTAATACATGTTAAATACAATAGTTGTACTTTATTTTATTACATTATATGAAGGTGATTATAATTATATATACAATTATATTTTATTTTTAAATAAAACCTTTATAATAACCTTGAAATCAGTTTAATTTTAATTGATTGTAAAACATAATATTTAATACAGTAATTATAATATTATACATACAATTCTAATCTATAAAATTAAAATAAAAAGCAAGATAAAAATGTTACACATAGCAAAATATAATGTTTTAATTTGAAATAGCTTTTCATGTCTAATCGATAAAAAATGTTCAATTTAGAGATTTCATTATTAAAATATATATTCAAGGTTCTATTATCTAGACAAACTAATATCTTAGTATACAAATTATAAAATAATAAATTGATGCTATAAACATTTTTTAGGCACAAAACTTTAAAAATCTATTCATTTAATAATCTAAATTATTACAAAATTTGTAATTTAATTATGATTTTCTTTGCGTGACTAGATACTATAGTTTAACAATATATGATTTTATAATATTTAAGCAAGCATATTCGGCGAAAAATATAACCAAACAAAATGTGAGACTATATATTATAAGTAGGAACATGGATTGTATTTTGTCCAGAGATAGGTTTTCATAATTAGAGGTTATATTAGAATAATAATGATAAATATGGTGACCATTCAAAACTCCACTATTTTCTAATATATTAATATTCATTTCGAAATAAAATTTCCCTTTTAATTGATGCCAGTATTGCATAAGTGATGACTCGAATAGGTGTTGAGATCTATATGTTACAGAAAATTGCTTGATACAATTGATATATACTGAATATTTATATTGAATGAATATCTCACATAATTTCAGTTTCATTGATGAACGGGAACTGCGGTCCATAACAGAGGGGTGTTGTCAGTACTGGCAGATAGGGTTGGCCCACATGTATGGACCCAAATCGGGGCAGAAATGGTACCAATATATACATCCAAATGTCATCCTGAGCCAAAACAATATTATCAAAAAAGCTTACAAGCTTTTCAGGGTTGTCTACTAATCCCTGTACTGTATCTACCACTGAATCCCACATTTTGAGTTTATTCCCAAACTTTATAAATTTTTGTCTGAAATCCTGTTCAAAGTCTTTGTAAAATTGAGGTGATCTCCATTCATCGTAATAGTATTTATCGGTATAGACATGGAGTCTATCATCTAATATATTATCGATTGTGTCGGCATTCATCACATCCCTGTTCACCATATTTACTAACAACTCGTTGCGAATAATGGCCACTAATGGGGAGATACAGGCGATCCATAAGATGTATAACAAGTTGTAAAACCCCAGAGATTCTCCGATTCCGAGGCATGGCTTCAAAAATACAGAGATGTGTCGCATAAATGACTTGTTTTTATTGTTGCGATAAAATCTTCGGTTTACTACTCTATCGGTAATTATTATAAAGAGTGTTGAAATCAGTATATATTTCCATATATTTTCGTCCAATGCTTTCCAAATGTCCAAAATCGGTGGCAAAGGCTTATTGATGTTAACACTGATGTAATTCATGAGGTATGACATGTATAGCGGTTTTGTACAATTCAAATGATTGACATCCCTTTCCCAAACATAATTCATTGGAGTGTCACGTAATGCCGTCACTAATCCCTGTCTAACCAATTGGTTGTTTATTGTGGCATTATCATTAACCCAGGCACATGTAAACACATATAGATTTACACTACAGTATAATAATTATAAAAATCAATATTTTGTTAGTTGTATTAAATTATTTAACATTTATTACCTATAATTCACACGTTTGGCGACCTCTAATAGTATGGGTGCTATTAATGAGGAATAATAGGCTTCCCCTACTTTACCGCTCACTTCATAATATTCTTTCTATAAAATTATAAATTAATTTTTAATTATTATACAAAAAATTGGTGTTTTACCGCAGTATTAAAAGTTTTCAAAATGAAAGTATTGTGTGGTTTTGGTATTTGTTGATAAGTGGGCCCATAATTGCAGTCAATATAAGTCATGTTAACATTCAACACATATTTATGCCAATAAGCGAAATGATGGGACTCTATGTACTCGTATACCTTTCCCGATAATCTAATCCATTCACGATAAGATGCCCAGGACATTTTTATTTGAAGTTTAGTGATAGTAGAAACCAAATCAAAAATTCACTATAAAGTCAAAGTAAAATTCAATATAATACTTTATTAATAATAAAATTTCAATTATTTTTGCAATATTTTATTTTAGTTTACTACTGTATTATATAAGTGAGTTAATTTATGTATATTTTTAGTAACTTATTTACTATACAACGCCTAAATAGCTTTCATAATTAAATTATGTATAAATTATTTTTATGGAAAGTTTATGTAATATATTTTTCTCATTATGCTAAAGTCTAAATTAAAAATATTTTTACAAGTACCTTTTACAAGAAAATAAAATAAATTTATAATACATTAAATCAGGTAAAATTATGTTATAAATACAAAATCATTTACAAAAAAATTAAACATTTATAATTATTCAAACGTGCAAATGATATCCAAATAGACTGTATATGAGAGGCGTTATCCAAATTTACTATTATTACATCAAAATTGTATCAAGCATAAAACGACAAACATGCGACAAACAATTTTGTTACACAACAAATAATACGAGTCAATACTTTATATTTTATTTTATTTGAGTTTTAAATTTATATTTTTAAACATTCTGACTTTAAACGTGTTCAAAATGTTATTAATAAAATAGTTTACAAGTTTGAAATATATAAACTTAATTTGTATAATACTTAACATAAACGATACAATTTCAACAAATAAAATAATCACGCAAAATATCAATGTATAGACAAAAAATAGAAATAAAGATTCAATTTTGTCTAACGATAGGCTTTCCCAGTTAGAGGTTGTATTAGGGTAGAAATGATGTAGGTGGTGATTATTTAAAAGTCCACCATTTTCCAGTACATTATTATCGATTTCGTAATAAAATTTTCCTTTCAATTGATGCCAGTATTGGATAAGTGATGACTCAAATAGGCGTTGAGATCTGTGTTTTATTCAAAATAGCTTTATACAATTTTTACATTTATATTGAATGAATTTCTCACATGATTTCAGTGTCATTGATGAAC